AAAACAACTAGTGATTAAAATAAAGACAGAAAACAAATGTCTCGCTCAGTAAGATTCTATGTATTCCATACCAGTAAGATTCTATGTATTCCATGCCAGTAAGATTCTATATATTCCATACCAGTAAGATTCTTTATATTCCATACCAGTAAGATTCTATGTATTCCATACCAGTAAGATTCTATATATTCCATACCAGTAAGATTCTATATATTCCATACCAGTAAGATTCTTTATATTCCATACCAGTAAGATTCTATCTATTCCATACCAGTAAGATTCTATGTATTCCATACCAGTAAGATTCTATATATTCCATACCAGTAAGATTCTATGTATTCCATACCAGTAAGATTCTATATATTCCATACCAGTAAGATTCTATATATTCCATATCAGGTTAACCAATGGATAATTATATAAGAATGAAGGTACCATACCTATATGCCTCCCCGTTACAAAGTTACCTGTATTGAATCAATGCCACCTGCTTCCTAATTCATACACCATGCACTCCATTCATATTGACTAGCAGTTATTGTAACCGTCTGCACTGTAATGTCTTATAATAATTGTATTTACCTTGGATGAGACTCCCTGATGCTGCCATCTGGTTAATGGGCACATTGTATACATCCCTGTGCTGAAATGCCAGTTCAGCTCCTCCTCCTTGTGAGCCTGGCACAGGGGCTGACTCCTGATAGCTCCAGCTTGGCATGGCCCCCTGGTACTGATTTTCCTGGTTTATCCAGGCTGGCTGATATTGCTGCCCACTGTAGTAATACTCTGGTGGGATTTTACTCTCCATGGAGCATTAAGAGAGTTGCCCAGGGTCTGTGTCTCTGGATGCTGCTCTGATCTACCTGCCTGGGCTCTGTGAGAGCCTCTTATACCCTCAGTGAGTGCCTCTCCTCAGGGGTCCCTTGGCTCCACCTGGCGGGCTGCTTTTGATGTATCCCCTGCTAGTCTGCTGCCTTTGATCGCCATAGAACTTCATGTAAAGTGTGTTGACACCTGGTTACACGTCTTGTCTGCAATACACATTCACCCACACAGGGTCTCTCACCTTGTCCTGTCCTGTACTTCCTCTCAGTTCATTCATACATTTACCTGGATCCATATACATAGGGATATTTGCATCAGTATTATAATACTCTAGCATCAAAATCACAACAGGCTGATTGCAGGTGGGTTTTTGGAGGTGGGTGTGGGGGATTGTTTGGGGTTTGTTTTTTGATGATTTTGACGTTTTCAGCGGATTGTGCTATTATCACCATTTTTGAAAGTATTAAAAACCACTAAGTAATTCTCATACAGTAGTGACATCTAGGCTGATCTAAAATATATAAATGATGATTAGTTGCTGGGAAATCGTAAATAAATGTCTGTCTGTATACTGTCTGTTTATCTCTGTGCTGTCCGTGTTTTGTCTGTAATACCCGTCTGTGTAGCTCCCTGTGTCGTGTCTGTCTGTGTGATCTAATTGCAAACATTGGAAAATAGCAAATTATCCGGAATTGGATGAAACAGATGTATAGAAAATCTATTGGAAATCTAAAAAAAAAAATGTGCTTGCATTATTAGCAGTGATATTCTTAATGTATATTAAAAAAAAGAACTCATAGTCATAGTGTATAGTGACCCCCAGCCATGCCCTCCTTCCAGACTTCTTTAAATGAGCGGAATAGATATTTAAACTAAAACATTATCATTAGATCTAGAATCAGTGAAAATAAAAGTGAAACATACTTGTGTTTCTGATTTACATCTGTTTTTCCATGAGGTGTCTTTGGAATAATTTTTGTCCTGTTTGAGGTCAGATTGTGAGCTCTAGTCTGTACCTCTTTCCCAATAACTAACTACCACATTAAATGATTAAATGTTCATTACTTTATTGAATAGAATCTGATACATTCGCAACCGGCTACTCAGGCGATACAGTTTCAATGTTCTGTCCACATTCTCTGACATGGCTATGTGTTGACAGACTTTCTATATATTGCAGGCTGATATCAGACTTGTATAGTTGATGCATTTTTTTGCTAGGCAGATTTTTATCCTATTTTATCCAGCTTTGTAGCACTTTTGGATGTATTTTCACGCTGCTTGGTACCGGTTTCACGGAGTGTCACACAAGGGTTCGATTAATATCGCCCCCCCCCTTATTTACTTTTATATGTATTTAGTTGTAGATAATAAAAGTTATGTCTTAACCTATTTTGGCATTTCGGTTTTGTATTCTTATTTTTCATATGCATTCCATAGGTACATTTAACTAACTCTCTGCCAGACAACACCTTCTCTGAGTCTTTTCCAGTTATTAGTTATAACTAAGGGGTTACCCCCTATTTGTTGGCGTTCGATAGATCTGCTCCACTCTTCTTTTTGTGCTCGTTTTTGGATTAAGAAACATTTTGGCAAAGTTCTTTAATTTCTTTCTAGAACTTTCCCCCATAATGGAAGGAATGAATGTACCTACACATTCACAGCAGTGATGGGCACATGTCATGGAGTCTGCACCCAGCAAAAATTCTCATCTAAACTTTACTGAATAAAATATTAATTTAAGAGATGCAATATGCACATTTTTGCTCTAGTGGCACAACTATATTCTTCGAATGCATAAGCTAAACCAAACACACAAATGTGCCCACAAAAACCTAAATATGGGACTGGCAGCACAATTTGACCCTTTATTAAGGTATACCTGGGCACACCTGGCACACCCCTTGCCCACATGCCTATCCAGTCCCATGCCAAAATGCCAAAAGTGTTGTTACAAAATAATTGGGTGCAATGCCACAGGTAAGGCAAGGTTAAGATTCTGCATTGGTATCTATCTGTCACTCTATGGGCTTGGAGTGTGTTTGGTATTATTTAAAACATCATCAAGTATGGTTCATACAAATATGTGTTTTTGGAACAATCAACAATTATGACAAAGTTCTTAAATAGAATATTTTCTATTTTCTATTTGCTTTCCTTCTGGAACGTTCACCCAAAAGGGAAGGAATGCATGTACTTACACATTGCAACAAAATAATTAAATTAAATAAAAATAAAAATATATGTTCACAAATAATTACTGTTTTTTGTGTTCACTAGTAAATTATTCTGTTTGAAATAAACATACAAGGAACATTCATTGTATAATTATAGCACTTTTAGATATATATAGGTATTTAGTACCTTGGCTGATCTCACCTGAAATATGCACAGTAACAATCTTTTAACACACTATTTCCTGTGAGTGCCATTTTCAATATTTTTAACTATTCTGATGGTAATGTTGTTGTTTTTTTTACTATTATGATATTTTGGAATGTAAATTACAAAGAAAAATAATAATTATTAACATTTTTATAGCGCTCCTTACATTTATAGAAATGGGATAATTGACAAGTGATGGATATACAGAATATTAATTCATAAAAACTTCACATCAGTGCCAATAGACAGTACCGGGCACCATTGGGATATGTATGCCCACATGCTATCCTAACAAACAGCCAAGTGTGAGTGTCTGTGTGAATGTTGTGTTTAGTGCACTCACCTGGGGGGAATTCCTACCTGACAGGGCCGGGTTTTTACTAATCAACGACAGGAAAGTTTGTGCCCTGTCACGTTGACACATTCAGGGTTATTCACTAAAGTGATAATCTAAGGTGAATTCAAAGTGAATTTAAAATTTAAGGCTAAAATAGCCAAACTGGAACAATCCTCTAAGTAACCTTCTAGTTTGACTACTTTGCCCTCAAATCCAAAATTCTTTTTGAATTTGCTTTGAATTCTCACTTTTAGTGAATAACTCTGATAGACATAGGTAATAGATATATTATTGAATCCACCTTGGAACCCTGAGCTGTAAACACACATTAACTCCTATTATTTTGAATGATATAACTTTATAAATTGCGTATTGAAATGTTGCATTTTCTTCAGGTGCAATATTGTCTTTCTTTCAGCATTGTAAGCTATCCTTTGTGTCACTTTGTGCATGTTTGCTTCCAGTTGCTCTATTAACTTTATCTTGTCCAGACTGTAGATTACCTTTTTGAAGCTGGTGCCGCCCCCTTCCCCTGACCATCACTGTACTGACATGATTATATTAGAGTTCGTGTAATCTCTCCCTAAATAGATCAGCTGAATGCCCCCTAGTCATCAAAGCTAACAGTATTCTATTGCCTGGGACAAAGCTTCTAGATAAAGTGTTGACAGGGAACATTTTGGAACTCAAATGATAAGAACCATGATTTAAGCAGCAATTACCTGTGAAAATGTGTAGACTTTACAGGTGGAATTAACAGTGCTTGTAAGTTTATACCAGGAACAACCTGCAGAGTACAAAAGTGTTTCATGGTGGCGTTTGCATTACCTGCACATAAATTATAATCTATAAAATGTTTAATGTCAAGGAAACAATTATTTATAGGTTATAATGATGGCTCCTTAAAATGCCTTTCAGTGGTATCTGCAGAAATTTTAAGAGAATAGGGGGTTAGGGGTAAAACCATAATCTGAATATGTACTCTCACTGTTAGGCAACATTTAAATCAATGGGAGGGAATGTTTTTGAGTGTGGTCACTCGCCCCCCACGTGCTACATGCTTTGAACGGCATGGTCTTTTGTTAAGTGTAAGGATCTATGTTGCTGAAGAAAGACAAACACGTGTGCAAATCACACGGGTGTACATACAACACACCAAAAGCACATTTCACACAAATTAGGGATTATTCTAGCTTTTAGTGAACGGATAATCTGAATTTTATTAAAGACAGGAGGCGAATATTTGCTTATCTTTCTTTACTGTAACTCCCAGCAGCAAAGAAATGGTTAACAATGTTGCATGGAAAAATCAACCAATCATAACATATCTCAACTACAATATAGTGTCATCAAACTCCTCCCACTTCCTCTTTCTTGATGTTGCCAGTCAGTAGCAAAGTCAACCATGTAAACTTTAACCGGAACAGTCCCGAAGCTGAAACTCAAGATGAAGTCAACCATGTAAACGGAAAGTTGATCGAATAAACTTGAGATCTTCACACTAAAAGAAAAAAGAGACTTCGTGAAAGTAAGGTTTCTCGGACAAGAGAAAAAAATATATATAGTTGTACCCCCTATGTCCAATTATAGTTCAGACGAATTGGCAGAAAATCAAAATATAAAGATCTATCAGTACTCTATGAGATAGGTGTATAACCACAAAGGTGAGCAAATCGTATATAGCAGGTTTGTATGTAATAATGGTATCATACATTATTTATTGATTATGAGACTTACCTCGAGGGTGGGTTCCGGAATGAACGAAGGGAGGGAAAATATTCGCCTCCTGTCTTTAATAAAATTCAGATTATTCGTTCACTAAAAGCTAGAATAATCCCTAATTTTATGGCAAGACAGGAGGCTTCATATTTGCTGTTTTAATGCTCTCGAATAATAGAACAAGCCGCATGTGTTTGTGTTGGTTTAAAATAAAAAATCCGAAAGGTAGATTCTCTTGACCAATCTGCGCAGGACAAAATATCCGCTAGAGAACTGCCGGCACGAAAGGCAGAGGATGCGGCCGCTCCCCTAACGGAGTGGGCCCCAAATGAGCTATCGATTCCCGCTTGGATAAGTAACCATCTTATCCAGCGAGCGATAGTGGGGGAAGAGACCGGTTTGTGAGGTCTGACGTAAGAGATGAAAAGGGGGCCGGTAGGAGAACGTAGGACGGCAGCCTCTGTGTAGCAATGAGTACACAGAGCCACACAGAGGGCCGGCCTGTCGGGAAAGTATGGGTAAAAGACAGACGAGGAATTCGTCTTAGTGTGCCTAGTAATCGTAAATCGGACCCCTTCTGGTGTGAAGGAGATAGCGTGTGAATCAAAAGCTTGAACTTCAGAAACTCTGCGGAAGGACACCAGGCACAGTAGCAGGGCCAATTTTGCAGAGAGCTGTCGAAGGGATAAGGCCTCGTTAGGTGGCCAGGATTCTAATAGTGCGAAGACTCGAGATATATCCCAGAAGTCAGAGTATTTGGCAGAAGGTGGCCTCGTCAAACGAATGCCTCGTAAAAGTCTGCACACGGAAGGATGTTTCCCAACTAAGGAGTTATCAATGGGGTCATGTCCCGCCGAAATGGCGGAACGAAAAATATTAATCAACCGGTATGATTTACCCTGATCGAAAAGGAATGATAGAAAATTTAGAATGGATGAGAGAGATGCTGAAACGGGATCGAAATCCCTCTCCAGACACCAGCTGACCCAAACTCGCCATGCGGCGAGATAGGTGCGCCTGGTTCCTGGGGCCCATGAATCCCACAGGAGTGTTTGAGCAGTGCTTGAAAGTCCTGCGACATGCCAGGCACCCCTGAAACTGTCCAGGCCACTAACTGAAGATGGCCCTGTAGGGCTAGTGGATGGTAGTCGCCCGTTGGGTTCTTGAGAACCCGATGTGAGCGAGGTAGAAGGATGGGGTAATCTGTGGAAAGTTCCAGAAGAGTGGGGAACCACGTCTGGGCCCGCCATAGAGGGGTAACTATCACAATCCTGACCCCCTGTGATTTGACCTGGTGGAGAGCACGTTGAATCATGGAAAAAGGAGGGAAGGCATAGGCTCCGCTCCGTGGCCAAAGTTGGAGAAAAGCGTCGACAGCTAGGGATAGAGGGTCTGGTAACCAGCTGAAGTAATCGTCTGTTTGACGATTCAGTCGAGACGCGAAGAGGTCGAGCGTGAGCGGTCCCCGCAATAGGTGAATATGGTGGAATAGGAGAGGATCTAATTGCCAGTCGCTGGCATCCCTCCAGTGACGTGAAAACCAATCCGCAACTAAATTGTCGGGTCCTGGGAGATATTCTGCCCAAATAGACAGATTCCTGTCTTGGCAGAACTGATACAGATCCTTGGTGAGGTCTGACAGTAGTTTCGATTTGGACCCTCCGAGTCGGTTTACATATCGTACTGCGGAAATGTTGTCCATCCGAAGTACCAGAGAGCAGTTGGATGCTTCTTTGGCAAAGCTGCGGATCGCAAAGGATCCGGCAATGAGCTCGAGACAATTTATGTGAAGTGCCTGTTCTGAAGGGGGCCAGAGACCTCCTGTGTGCGATTGGGCGCACGTAGCACCCCAACAGAGTAGGCTGGCATCGGATTCCAGAATAAAATCTGGTTGAGATCCGAAAATCGCTTTCCCATTCCAGGCTTCCATGTTGCGAAGCCACCAGTGAAGTTCGATGAGAACTTCGTCCGTTAGGAAAATGAATTGGTCGTAAGAGGTTGAGCGATGTAAATAGGAGGTTTTCAGCCGTTGCATTGCTCTGTAATGCAAGGGCCCTGGAAAAATAGCCTGAATTGATGCAGACAGAAGACCCAGAATGTGTGCTAGCTCGCGGAGCCGAGGTCGATGTGACTTGAGTAATTTTTGAATCTCTCGTTTTATGTTTTTGATTTTGGAGTAGGGTAACTGAAGAGTTGCTTGAACTGAATCTATCTGAAAACCCAGAAATTGGACTATTTGAGAAGGTACCAGGTCTGATTTCTGGTAATTTATGACAAAACCTAGGTTTTGAAGGAGGGCAGAGGTCATGTGTGTGTGTTTGCGAAGTAATTGTTGATCTTGTGCCATGATCAGGATATCGTCCAAATATATAATTGAACGTATGGCCTGAGAACGAAGGAGTGCCATGACCGGTTTCATCAACTTGGTGAAACACAAAGGAGCAGAGCAAAGTCCGAATGGAAGGCAGGTGAATTGCCAAATGTCGCCTTGCCATCGGAATTGGAGGAAGGCACGGTGACTTGGTGCTATAGGGACCGTCAGATAAGCATCTTTGAGGTCGAATCTGGAGAACCAGTCTCCCACGCAGAGCAAGTCCCTGAGAAGATGGATACCTTCCATCTTGAAATGACGGTATATGATAAAGCGATTCAACGCCTTGAGGTTGATAATGGGACGGTGGTCCCCCGTTTTTTTCCGAACCAGAAATATGTTGCTTAGGAAGGTGCAAGGGAAAGGCGAAGGTTCGATCGCCCCTTTGTGTACCAAATTTGTCAGTTCTGTGTTCAAGGTTAGAGTGTCTGCTTTTGACATCGTTAAGGGTGTCGGTTGAGAGTATTGAACTGGATGTGTGATAAAATCTATTTTGAAACCTGTGACTGTATGAAGGATCCAAAGATCCTGAGAAAGAAGTTTCCACTGTTGGAAAAAGAATGTTAATCGACCTGCGATTGATACATTTTTCAAATAAGCAAGGTCCATTACCTGAAGCAGTGCGTCCGCGCAGGGATGCAGAGCCACGTCCTCGAATTGAGCCTCTGGTGCTGAACAGCTGCCTGTGGTAGGGTCGTGAGTATCCTGTGGACCAATACTCTGTGGGTCGGGGCCTGTAGCCTGTAAAGGCTGCTCTACTGGTAGCTCGGGCCCTTGAGCGACCAGCTCTCCCAGAAAAACAATTTTGAGTAGTGGAACGGAACACCCTACGTAGGGAGGACTGGGCTTTATTGAGTGTGGTAAAAACTGAGACATGCTTGGAGAGGTCTCGCATGAAACTGTTACCAAATAGAAGGCCATCGGCCTCTGGGCCTAGTTCTTTAGTGCTCAAATCTACTAGTTTGGCATCGATTTTGTACAGTGTCGCTTTGCGTCTCTCAATTGAAATAGCCGTATTGGCGTTGCCCAGTAAGCAAAGGGCTCTCTGTGCCCATTCTCTTATAATATGCGGGTCTAGTTCACCGCTGGTGAGTGCCTCATCTGCGAGTATAAATATTTGTATGATAGGACCTGAAATGTCTAATAATTTGTCTTGGGTTGCTTTCAAACCCTGTTCAATACCCTTACGAGGGTCTTTACCAGATTTTGTTAAGTAGGTGACCAGCATGGGGTCAAATTCAGGGGTAGAGGCAACTTTGCCTGGGATAGTAGGTCTCGGGCATTCAGCCCTTAGTTTGTTTCTGATTTCTTTTTCGAGGGGCTTGCGAAGCCACAGTTTACAGAAATTAGCAATATGATCTGGGGGAGCCCATTCTGCTGAGCGTGGGTGGCGTATCACCCTTGGATCAAAAAGTGGAAGGCCTGAAGCATCCAGGAGGGTGTCTAAGTCAGGTACCTTACTCTTGTGGTCTTGACTTAGGAAGGTTTCTTTCACAAACTCCGATGTTGAGGAATCCTGGGGCGCATTCACCATGGGATCCTCATCAGAGTAATTGGGGTCATAGTCACTTAGAATATGGCCAGACAAATGTGAAGTAGAACCCTCTAGAGGGTCTGTAGCCTGTGAAACGTAAGGGTTAGAGTGTTTAACGACCTTAGCAGGAGCTTTGCCCTTGCCCGCAGTAGCGCTATTCCCTTTCCAGGGTCTCTTGCGCGGGGCGCTATCTTGGTCGGAGATATGGGAGTCCTCAGAATCAGAGGGTTGTTGTGTAGAGGGGTGTACCTCTGGATTACGTTCATGGTAGGCTGCCAGAGCCTTAGGAATGGACTCTGCGATAGTTGAGAAAAGCCATTCCTTAAGTTCGGCAGAAATCGCAGGGTCTTGGCGATCTGACATAATGTCAATTTCAAGATAAATGTAAACCCTAAAAAACAACTATCTATATATATTATCTATATAGATTATAAGTGTTAGAATGTCAATTAATGATGAGGCAACTCAATTAGAAAATATGATGTGGGGGTCACCCACGAGACGTCAAAATTCAATGGGGGTCACCCACAAATGCTTGGCACAATAAAATAGTAAAGGGCAATTAATGGGGATCACCCAATAATAGAGATTGTGAACAATAGATATATTGTGCAGTTACTGAGGTGGGGTCACCACTATAAAATTACACTAATAAATATATATAATGTATATATAATGTATATATAATGAACAGTAAACAATGGGGGTCACCCACAAAATAAATCAAGTGGTGTTAGCCACATAAATATTAACACAACAGTGTTTTCAGTAGGTGGTGTCAACCACACATATATTGTACATAATATGTACTTTAAATAAGTAAGTGGGGGTCACCCACAGGAGGGCAATAAAATAGTCAATCACACAAATTGTAAAATCAAACCACACTGTAATTAAACAAATTAGGGAAAGGGGTTCACCCAGAATGTAATAGAATGGTCCTGTGTGGGCAAAGCCTGTGGAAAAACAGATAGGAGATAGATCAGTATAGTGATCGTTTTTAATGAGCATATGAAATGAGGTGGAGATAAGATGGCAGCAACCTACCTTCCACAAGCTAGTCAGTAAGAGACTGTACCCACAGGATTCGAAAAAAAAGAAAAAAACTTGCGCGCCGCAGTGGAGGAGCCGTTGGCAGTTACTCTGAGGCTGAAAATGGCCGCCGCGAGATTGCCGCCGTTGAAAGGGCGGGAAAGGTCCGCATCACGAAAGAGAGACGCCAGTAGGCGGGAGGAAGGGTAAGGGCGGGAAATAGCAGCCGCGGGCTCTGGTAAATGGAGTCCGCGGCTGAGGAGAAACAGAGAATGGGCCGTGGCTCTTCCTGTGAGAAAAAAGCCGCGGCCAGCTGATTGAAAGCGGCAGGGTTTGAAAAAACCCTCCGTTCAGAGAAAAAACCCGGTAGGACGTAAAATTTTAAAGGAGAACAGTCCAATAACACAAATACAGTGAATAAGAAAAAAATAATATATATGTGAGGAAAAAGAAGAAAGTATTTAAAGGGAAAAAATGATTAAATCAAAAAAATAAGGTTTGTTAAGATGAGGTATATGTATGTAAGTAACAAAGATTAAATAAATATTGAAGTAACTTAAACCAGTAAAGCAATGCAATTGGAGCAGACTCACCTGGGAGGCAAGCAGCAAAGAAAGAGGAAGTGGGAGGAGTTTGATGACACTATATTGTAGTTGAGATATGTTATGATAGGTTGATTTTTCCATACAACATTGTTAACCATTTCTTTGCTGCTGGGAGTTACAGTAAAGAAAGATAAGCAAATATGAAGCCTCCTGTCTTGCCATAAAATTATACGAGTTTGCACGTTTCTTTATTTACACACCTAGGAAGTTCAAACAAATAGCAGATAGGATTCTACAACTGTAGGCTAGTGTGATATATTATAACTCTCCTTCTGTCTAATTGTGACTTGTGACATGACCAAGTGTGACACGGCGTGGAGTCTTGTCCTGGTATATTTTATGGATACCCATTTTCACGTCTTCCTATACTCTTTGAATATTTGATTGCGCCAAGTTAGTTATTTGGTGCTATGTCCATAGTGACTTATTTTAGTATGAATCAACAGAGAATCTTTACTTCTCATTTTTAGCTTGTGACGTCCAGCAGATTATTCTTATCACATAATATCATTCATTCTCTCCATAGCAGTGAGTGGCACATGGCATGCAGTGTTTACCCAGCAAAAAATATAATCTAAACTTTACAGAAAAATAAATACTTATTTAAAAAGAGGTGCATAAGAAACATTTTTGCACGCTACACAAATGTGCCCAGATTGGGGACCAGCATGATAATTTGACTCTTCATTAGGGTATACCTTGGCACACTCCCAATCCCATACCAAAATGCCACAAGTGTTGTTACAAAAGAAGTGGGTTCAATGCCACAAGAGGTAAGTCAAGGTTAAGCTGGTGACATCAGTCATTGATAAATAGCTATTGCCATCACATGTTGTTATAATTATGGCAGAATCACACTGTGTAAACAAGAATGCATCATCATTACAGTGACGTAAAATGTTGCTAGTGTTTGTGTTATGAGGGCTTAGACCGTAGAGTTTGGGTGTGAAAACATACAGCAAGGGGTTATTTATGTGTTAAGACATTTTTTGTTGGATGATTTTGTTCTAGGTATTAGGGTCTTAAGGGTTAGCAAAAACTAAACTTGTATGATTTGGCAAAGTAGGATAATATTAACCGATCAGCTCTTTTTACTTTAGTTTTGCCATTTGAAATTTATTTGTGAAAATTCAGATTTTAATGACTGAATTACCTGTCTTCAAGGTGCTATGAACTATGACCCCCATAATGCACAGTTTCCTGCCCCTGTGTCTTCTAAAATACAATGCGTGTTTCTTCAACCAAAATTCATTTTTTGCCCGTGTGAGATGAGATACATTTGAGAGTCAACTAACACAGAGTAGCTGTCTAGAGCACCAGTCAGTGCTAATTTTAAAATAGGTGGACACTAGTGATGCTGTACCTGGCCTGCAATGACAGAATATACAGCAGTGCACTCTGTGTGGTCATCTTGTGCCATTACAGCAGGATTAGGTGATTTGGAATTAGAGGGATTTTAGAGACCACCATTTTACATTGATCCAGCTGCACTTAAGATCTAAAAAAAAAACCAATGTTTTAAAAAAACGAGGTGAAATGGGGAAGAAAACGTATTGATAAAACATTTAAAAACTCTACAAAATTCAGCACACACACACAAAGAAAAAATCTATAAAATTCATACAATTTGTTTGGATGCCTGACTGGTCCCTATAAGCTCCTGAAATTTTAAATCTTATTTTATTTCCATACAAATATCTTTTTTTCCCTTTGTTATTTAAAGCTGATGCCCAGACCGTCATTAGAAGCAGGATATTGATAAAATATGACATCATGCTACTTAAGTCTCTAGAGGAAGCTCATCTTTGCATTGGTAAAGCTGACAGGAAGGAGGCATTTTCTGGCCTTGCCTAGAGCAATAGCTAAATTTGCATCCTGAACAGACCCAAGGCCATGGGGCTGCAGTCCTTTGTTTCTTGGTAGATAGTCACACCTTTCCCTTTTCTTCTGTATAACACCTCTTATCAGCTTGATGAATGCAGTGTGGGATCCCCTCACCTTTTAAAAGACTTGCAGACAGCAAGTAAAGCTTTTCAAAGACTTCAGAGTCAATATTGTTTGTAAAGTGCTTTATTTGTGGAAACGAGTTTAGACATCCATACCGATTGGTTGTCTATTTTGGTTTTGCTTTTTTTGTTTTTTTCCTGGTTTTTCTTCATACACACTATACTATACATCCTTTTTACATATGTTGAGCATAGGCGTGCACAAAACATACCTTAAGAGTGTGTACCCAGAGATAATTACCATCTAAATGTCACCTAAAAAGGCTTTTTCTTCTTTTCTTAAAATGGTAAACTATATATTTCCTTTGGTCAGAGACTCAAAGAATATAATAAACTAACCCAAGCTCACAGAGAACTAAACTGAGGAAAGAGATTGTAATTTAGTCCTGAATTAGGGTTTGCCTAGGCCCAACTGACCCCCCCCCCCCTCCCCATGTATGCCTATAATGTTGAATATATAATATTGTTTTGTTTACCTATGTGATATTTTTATATAACTCTATGTAATTCAAATGATTGTCTAGTATTTAGAAATATATATATATTGGATACTGAGGGGAGATTTTCTTTGCATGGTGTACATTCCAATTAGCTATACAGGATTTCAGCCCTCAGGCTAAAGAAGGACTGTGCTTTAGTCCATGTGTGAAACCACACCCAAAAGGGACAGGCTGACATTCACTCCTAATGCAAAGCATTTGAGAAAAACAGTTATTTCTGCACTGGTTACCTGATCTGGATTCTGTGGTGTTGCCATGGCTACTGCAGCATCACTTGGAATGTTGTCTGTACAAGTTCAACATGAAAACCATATGCACAAATTATCAAATAATACTAATATGACATACTGGGCTCTAATCACTGATGGGGGATGAATGAAACATTTATAAGTTTGTCTCTGGGCCTTCCTCTGTCTTATGGTTTGTGTCTCCTGCCTTACTCTCTGTATGTCCAGTTATATCTGGCTTACTCTCAGCCCAACTTCCAGTCTTTGTCTCCTTGCTTCTCAGCCCCCTCTTACTGAATGTCTACTTTCTTTTGTCTTTCTCCTTGTGTGCCTGCATCCCCTTTCTGCCTCTTATCCTATGTCTCTGTCTTTCCCTTTATGTCTCTTATTTTGTGTCTCCCATCACAAGTCCATTGTGTTTTAGTCCCCTTCATCATGTTCATCCCTGTTAATGTTCTTGCTACCTCTACCTTAATTATCTGATAGAGCCCACCGTCCACTTTGTATTAATATATGTATATATATATTATATATAATTCTTGGCGATTTAGTTGAGGAATACAAAATGCAGTTAAAGGAATAGTGCATACACAAAAATACAGTTTTAAATTTTAGAAGGCAACTTGGGCAACTCCTGTGGGGCACCCTCCAAAGGGGCACCCATAGTGGATGGGGTGCTCAGCCCAAAAGGAATCTGGCCTGAATTCCAAATCTACTTGTAAAAATATGGGTACATTTTACAAGACTACTTAAAATCTCCTATTTTAGCAAACAATTGCGGGGATTCAGTTACTCCATATGTCCATATCCTGTTAAGCCCACCACTACTTCACAGTACCCCATATCGGTGGGTCCTACACTCATTTTTGGAGGAATACTGATATCTGGGCACTAACCACTTAGGTCTCTCCATCTTGGCTTTCTTGTGTGGCATGGTATGTAAATTAGTGTATTTTCTTGAGCCATGCATTTTTCAAGCAAAGTTTCTGTTTA